AGGGGGGGGGGGGCTCACGCGCAGGAAGGGCAAGGAGGCCCCGCCCCCTGCCCCGCTCCCATGGCAGCCAGCAGCCAGAGAGGCGCACCCGCCAGCAGCGCAGCACCGCCGAGCCCACAGCCTGTGCCGCCATCACCCCCGTCCCCAACACCCCGCCTCTGCCCGCCTCCCCCCACGGTGCCCCTGGCCACCGCCCCGCGGCTCGCTGACCTGCGTGGAGCCGTAGCCGGCGTCGAAGCTGCCCACCTTGGGCCCCGTCTGCCCAAACACCGCGTTGTCGGCGGCGACGGTGAGGTCGCACATCATGTGCAGGATGTGGCCCCCGCCCACAGCATACCCAGCCACCTGCGCCACCACCGGCTTGGGCAGCCGCCGGATCTGCGGCGCAGCGAGGTGGTGGTGGTGGTTTTTGGGGGGTGGTCAGGCAGCAGGCGGAGGGGGCGGTGGAGGCATGTGAGGGAGAGCGCTTGTGTGGTTGTGCCTTGATGCGAGGCAGGATGTGTATGGAGGCAGGGTGTGCATGGGCTCGGTCGGGGACACCGCCCCGCGAGCCCATGCCCCCGCCGCCAACCTGCATCTGCAGATCCAGCACGTTGAGGCGCGGGATGCCGTCCGCGCCCACGTAGCCTCCCGCGCCTCGCACGCTCTGGTCGCCGCCGCTGCAGAAGGCCAGCGGGCCCTCCCCCGTCAGGATCACCACCCCCACCGCCGGGTCCTCCCTTGCATCGGCAAAGCACAGCGACATCTCCATCACTGCACGGCACAGGCAGGGTGGATGGCTACAGCGAGGTGTGCGGAACCAGCCAAGGGTGCAGAGGCTTGCAGCATGGCGACAACGCGCCATGATGCCAGCCGCCAGGCTGTTGCGGCGAGGCTGCCGCACCCGTGCGTGGGGTGAATGCATTGCGCTTCTCGGGGCGGTTGATGGTGACCTGCGCAAGACAGCGCAGGCATAACGGTTGCAGGCGGTGGTGCGCATGGAGATAGATGAGCAGTGCTCATTGAGCACTGCCGCAAGGCTTCGACCGCCAGCGCCGAGCGGTGTACCTTGGCAATCCCCTCCCCCACGGCCTTCTCGTAGCGCACTTCTCGCAGCTCCTCCTTTGCCACCGTGTCTATGCGCCTCCACTGGGCGGGAGCCCGCGAAACCTCGCCGTGCACTCGGGCATAGCTGCTGGGCCGTCCTGTGGCCGAGGCGTAGCTGGTGCTGGCGCCATCAGAGCCGGCGCTGTGCCCGCTACAGCCGCACTGGCTGCAGGAAAGCGGCTGCAGCTCCACCTCCCCCACATGCCGTTCCTCACATGCCGCTTGGAGGTGCTGGGACAGCACACCAACCCTGCGAGAAACAGAGTCCATCATGGCAGTGTATCACACGCAGCAGAGCGGGCCGGGCGATCGCCGCAAGGCAACTGGGTAGGCCACCTCATCCGCCAGGCGGGAGGGCGCCGGGACCTGCAGTCCACCATCAGGCCGGGCCCGACAGGCCCCCATCCACACCTGCGCCGCACTTTACATCATGAGGACTGTTTGTACATTGGATGGCAGGGCGCGTATGCACATTGAGGCCCAGGGCGGTTTCAAAGAGCAGCGTCAGCGGCTGGTGGGAAGAATGGTGACTCAAAATGCTCGAACAAGGCACAAGATAAGCGTGGGTCAGGTGGACAGAAGTTGAGCCGAGAAAGGGAGCAAGCAGCAGGGGGGTGCTATCGAGTCAAACTGGCAATGTGCACGGATGACAAAACAGGGGCGGCGGGAGCAGAGCCGCGATGGAGCATGGGTGAGGGCTGGGTTCTGAGCCGGCAGCTACAAAAAAACAGGTGCTCGTAGAAACAACAACATGCCCATCCGCGCCGTGAGGCAGGGCGCGAGGAGGGGCAGCAGAAGCAGGCAGGGCTGCGCAGCGGGGCCGCCGTGCGCCGCCCATCACTCAAAGGCCATTCCGTTGCAGGCGGTCACCCAGGCCGACACATCGGCCGACGCCTCCAGCTGCAGCTCCGCGCCCGCCGCCACAAAGTAGACGTCGCCCCGCTTAAGGAGGCGCGACTGCTCGCCGCTGCGCACGTGCATCGCGCCCTGCTGCACCAGCATGAGCAGCGGGCCCGCGGGCGGCGGCAGCGCCTCGCGGGAGCCGGCGGGCGGCGTGTAGCGCCAGATCTCAAACTCCCTGCAGGCGCGTGGCGGGCAGAGCATATGCAGGGGTCGAGGGTGGCCCAGGCAGGCAGGCAGGCAGGGTGCAGCCACGAGCAGCAGCAGCAGCATCCCCACCAGCACGCGCGGCGGCGGCGGCTGGCGCCGTGCGCGCGCACCTGAAGGGCGGGCGGTAGCAGGCCAGGTGTGGCGAGGCCGCCGACTTGGCGCCCTCCATCACCTCGGGCACCCCCTGCCGGTACGTCAGCGACTCGCACAGCGTCTCCACATCCCGCAGCTTGGGGGTCAGCCCCGCGCGGATCACGTTGTCTGCGCACAGGGCAGCGGCAGGCGCGGCGCGGCGTGAGCGGCGCGGCAGCTGCGCGGCCCTGGCTGCGCCAGCGGCGCAACGACTTCAAAGGCAGGGCGGGGCCCGCAGACGGGGGCCGGCGCTGCGCAGGGGGCGGCGAGGAGGGACGCCGCGGCGCGGCGGCAGGAGGGAGAACAGCGGCGCACCCCACCTGACGTGGCCATGCACTCCACAATCTCTCCCGAGATGTATGCGTGGGGCTCGTTGGCGGGCAGCGCCACCGCCTGGCCCGGGCGCAGGCGCAGGTGGTTGAGGAACCAGGAGGCCAGCACGCCGACGTCCCCGGGGTACTGCCGCTGCAGGCGCAGCGTCAGCTGCTCCCGCGCGCTGAGCTGGCGCCCCGCTGCCGCCTCGCGCTCCAGCCGCGAGCACAGCGCGCGCACGCACTCCGCCGCCCGCTCGGCGGGGCAGGCCATGACGGCGTGGAAGGCCGCCTTGAGCGCCTGCCGCCGCTGCGCGCCGCAGGGGGCGGCAGCCGCCAGCGCGGCGACGCGCGCCTCGCCGCAGCAGGCCGCCAGCTCGGGCACGGCGCGCAGCGCCGCCACCAGCTCCTCGTGCGGCACAAAGCTGCACAGCGCCTCAAACTCGCTCAGCGCCAGCGCCATCTCCGGCTTGTGGTTGGCGTCCTTGTACACCTGGGCAGGCGGGAGGAGGGGCGGGCGGGGCGGGCAGGGGCGGCGTGAGTTGCGAGGGCAGATGGGCTGGGTGGGGGCGCATGCATGCGACCACCCTGCTTTCTGCCCAGCGAATCGACGCGGGCGCAGCTGCGAAACGCCCCACGGCTGTGCCCTCGTCACAGGAAGGCACAGACACACGTCCCGTGCCGCGCCCCGCCCACCTCTGGCCTTGCCGCGTGCAGCCGCTCCGCCAGCGCCTTGTCGGGGTGTGACTGGATGGAGAGGGCGGTGCCCACGGAGAGCACCTTGAAGAGGAAGGGCAGGTCGCAGCCAAACCGCGGCAGCGCGGCGCCCAGCAGCTCGGGCCGGTCGCGCAGCAGCGCCAGCAGCGGCTGCCCCGCGTAGCCGTTGTCTGCCAGCAGGGAGGGCGCCGCGGGGTGGGTGCCCATCCTGAGGGGAGAGGGGAGGGTGCGCGTGTGGAAGTGGGGCACTTTGGCGGCGGGCAGGTTGGAGCGGCGGCACGCCGCGCCACACAGCTCTCGTCCCGGCCACGGCCCGGCCCCTGGCTCACCACAGCTCGGCATAGGGCTTGGACTCGTCCACTTGCCGCCCAGATGCAGCCACCAGCTGTGCCACCTGCAGCAAGGGAGGCGAGCGGGAGCGGGTCGGTGCCCGCGCCGCATGTGCCGCCGCTGGCAGCAGCCCTCGGCACCAGCCCTGCGCCCGCGCTGCTGTCCTGGAGAGCAGCTCTCTTACCTCCGAATCCTCGTGGTGGCGCCCCCAGGCATAGTTTTGAGCGCTGCAAGCCAGTCGGTGCAGCGCGCTCCGCGACCTGGTGAGGCTCTCTGTCGCCGTTCCAGCCATTGTTCCGATTGTTCAATGGCTGCGGCAGCAGAACAGCGCTGTCGGGCGAGCCCACAGGCCCCAGCGCCCGCGAACAAAATTTGGCAGCGGGCGCCTCCTCGGGGAGGGAGCTGGCTGCTCTTGAAAAGGTGGAAACAAGGCGATGCAGGGAGGCAATGAGCAGGGGCAGCGGGAGGTCTGTGCCTGCTGTACCTCCCTTGTGCGCCCATGCAATCGGTCGGAACGCTCTCTGACTGAAAGCCTGTGGCCGGCGCCCCTGGCGCCCAGTCACGCATACCTGCCCGCTACGCACACCCTACAGGCATGTTTGGAGGCGGCAGGGCGTGGGGGGCAGCCAGCCAGGCCTCTCAGTTTTGCTGGGATGCGCCCTGGGCCTCGTCTCAGGCTCCTCCACCATCTGCAGCTGAGCCCGTGGGGCGTGGGGCGTGGGCGCAGCCCGGTTTGCGCCTCCCCCTGGAGCCGCAGACGCGGTCAGGTGCGGCGGCGCTTGCACAGCGGGTGGCCGCCAGCGGCGGGGCCGACCCGTTTGCTTTTGACGACAGCCCAGCATCAGGCAGCATGCAGCCAGCCCCCGTAGCCATGCCAGGCTTGGCGGGAGGGGGCTGGCGTGGGCGGGCCGACAGCTTCCTGCTAGGCAGCTCGGCCCCACTGGGGCAGCAGCATGGCAGGCAGCAGCAGCAGCAGCACCATGGAGGGGAGGCCGCCGCCACATGCAAGCCCGCAGTGCCGCCAGCCCCCGCCGCCAAGCCCCCTGCTGCCACAATGGCGGGTGCGGTGGCAGCCCACCTCCGTACCACCATGGCAGCCGCGGCCGCCGCTCCTCCCGCCGCGCCTGCCGCCGCCGCGCCTGCCACCGTCTCTCTCTCGCTCGAGCGCTACCTCGAGTTCTGGCAGCTCCTGACCAAGGGCAGCGGGCGAGTGCAGCCGCTGTCTGGGCTGGAGCAGACGATGCTCAAGGCCGCAGACTTGAAGCAGGCGAGGGCATGCCGGCCAGCACTGATGGTTGCACCCCTTGCAGCCTGCACCTGTGGGTGTGCCCAGTGCTGACTGGGCAGCACCCAGCATTCGCTTTGTTTCTGTCCTACCGCGCCTGCTGCCGCCACCCCGCGCCGCAGGTGCTTCTGGTCAACGGCCTCAATGCAGGCAGCCGCCCAAAGAAGGAACTGATGGACAGGCTGGGCCAGATGGCGCTCATCAACCCGGTGTGCGCGCCGCCCTCGGGTGCCGGCGCCGGCACCCAGGAAGGCACCGCCGAGCGCGGCGGCGCGGCGCCAGAGCCAGCAGCTGCGGGTGCCCAGGTGGCGCTGGATCGGGGCGCCCTGGCCAGCCTGGGCAGCCTGGGGTGGGTGGCGCCCGCTGCGCTGCTCCCGCAGGCGGGCGCGTGCGGCGGCGCCTGCTGCGCCCTGCCCCCGGTGCGCATCTTCCCTCCCGAGGCAGCGCAGGTGCCAGCCCCCGCAGCGAATGGCGCGGCAGAGGCCGCACGCGCCCCTGCCCGCCACTCCCAGCCGCACCAGCTGCTGCCTTACGGTGGTGGCACCCAGCCCTTGGTGCCCGCCAGGTCAGCGCAGCAGCCCGCCGACAGCGACGTCACTGTGGCCTCGCTGGGCCCGCCCGCCTTCCAGCACAACGCCGTGCAGTGCAGCCCGGCGGTGGCGCAGCAGCAGCAGCAGCAGCAGCAGGCGTGCAGGGTGGGAGCCGCGGCGCAGCGCCCTGCAGGCGCCGCATCGGCAGCGCCGGCGCCCGAGGTCGGCGTGGCTGGCGGCGCCGGCAGCGAGGCGCCGGAGCAGGAGGAGGGGCAGGAGGGGGAGGCGGCACTGCCTGGCGCACCAGAGTGGCTGGCGCGGGGCGTTGCGCGGGTGGCGGAGCGCTCGCAGGGCAGCAGCGATGCCGTGCCGGCTGCGCAGCTGCAGGGGCGCAGGTGGGGCCTGGCGCCGGGCGCTGTGGTGCCGCGGCACTGCTGGGCAGCCGGGCAGGAAGCTATGGCATGTCTCTCTCCTGATCCATAGTACGCAATGGCCCTCCCGCCCCCTGCTCACGACCTCCGCCTCGCCTCCTCCGCCCATGCCTGTGGGTACGCCGGCCACCAGGGTGTGCTTTGTGCTGCTGGAGGACTTTGACCAGGATGACCTGCTGGGTGTGACAGACACGCTGGAGGCGGGGGTGCAGGAGGGGCAGTGAGTGGCGGCGCCGCGCTCGTGTGCTGCGGCCGCGCGGGCCGTGGCCGTGGCTGCCAGCAGCATGGGTTTAGGGTGTGGTTTAGGGTTTTAGGGTGCTGACATTGGCGTGCTGACAGTGGCTCGGCGGTGGCGATGACCATCGGCCAGTCGCTCAGGCAGCCAGCCCGGTGATGGGTGGTGGTGCCGGGCGGGTGCCTGGTGCTCTCCCCGACTTCTGCCGCTAGGCCATGCACCCCCGCCCCGCCCCGCCGCGCCCGGCTTGCAGGGTGGTGGACCCCGTGGGCGTGGATCACGACGAGGACTGCCCGCCTGGCTGCCGCCAGCGCCACGCCTTCCACTACGTGCGGGTGCGGGCCAGCCGGTCCACGGCGCCGCTGGCGCGCAGGGCGGGGCGGCGCCTGGACCTCGTGGTGGACCTGCAGGCGGCGCTCAGGTGCGTGGCCCTGGGGGCGGCGCCGGGCCCGCGCGCTTTGTCGGCAGCTGATGCTTTGCCTCTGTGGACCGAGCGCCAAAGAGCTTCAGAACAGCTCCGTTCAGCGCCGCCTCAGCCTGCCCGCTACCCTCCAGCGTGTGTGTGTCTGGCTGTGTGCAGCTGCGCGCACTGCTGCCTCCTTGATGCTGTGTGATGCGATGTGATGCAGGCGGCCCGAGCTGGAGTGCCTGCTGGGGATGGGGGATGCGGAGCTGCAGGATGCCTGGGTGCTGCTGGAGCCGAGGCAGGAGGATGAGGGCGAGGCGGAGGCGGAGGCACAGGAGCAGGGCCCCGCCAGCACAAGAGGAGCAGCCCACATGCAGGCACCTGGCAGCACAGCAGCCGGCAAGCCCCCGCTGGCAAAGCGGGCGGCAGCAGGAGCCGCACAGGGCGCGCGTGGGATTGGCGATGGAGGGTGGCGCACCAAGCGTGGTGGACAGGCGGCACCCGTGGCAGCCGCCCCCGCCCCCAAGCGGCAGCAGACGGCGGTGCAAGCGTAGCATGCCAGGCAGCGAGGGGGACTGGCTTGCACATTAGAATTCAGGGCCACAAGGCATTCCAGCATGCAAGTACAAGAAGCAGGGAAACAAGGGGCACAGATGAGCGAGGCAGGCCATGGTGTGAGCGGCAGGACTCAGATGCAAGAACAGACTGAATGAATGGTTTTTTTTGGCTGGTGGCAATTAGGTGATGGGGCGTAGGTTCCAGCAGCTGCGCGTGGCTTTCTGGAGTGCCACCTGTTAATCAAGAGTGTGTGTGTGTGGTGTCTGTCAGTCACGGAGGCTCCAGGGCCAGCAGGCAGGCTGCTGGCTAGTACTCGGCTGCGCGGCGGGCTCGCCCCGGCTCCGGCGCCTCTTCGTCATCTGTCAGATACTCCTCCAGCAGCTTGCTCTTCTTGCGCTGGCGCTGCGGCCGCGCCGAGCCGCTGCTCTGCCGGCTGGCCTGCAGGCAGAAGCGAGCGACGGTGCAGCAGCTTCAACCAACCAAGGGCGGTGCGCCACCCCCTGCATCTGCCTTCGCTTGGTGGCAGGGTGCTGCGTGCCTGCAAAGCACACCAGCAGCTGAATGCAGGCGGGCATGCCCCGTACCTTGTGCTTCCAAGACTGCCAGTCCTCGTCGTCATCCTCTTCCTCTTCCTCCTCCTCATCCTCCTCCACCTCCTCATCCTCCTCCACCTGCGGCGCCTGCTGCTGCTTGCGCCGGCCCCCTCCGCCGCCCTTTCGCCGCTGCGGCTGGGGCTGCCCGTCTGCCGCCGCCGCCGCCGCTGTGGCGCTGGCCATGAGCACCTGTGGGTCAAACTGCACCTGCGCCGGGTTGAACCCCGTGCCTGCCCCCGCCGTCGCCAGGGCAGAGGACAGGTTGTACACAGCAGACATGTCGGGCACAGCAGCCTGCGGGAGGGCGGCCAGGCATGGCAGCAAGAGGGAAAAGAGTTGGGGTTTGTGCAGCTGGGGTTGCCTGCAGACAGGTTTGGCAAGGTGCGACATGTTCTGCCAAGCAAGGGCAAGCCAGCAGCTGCTGCAGGGATACTGCACAGGCAGCCTATGAGGGCTCTGCGGCTCTCACCGTCAATTGCATGTTCAAAGCCTGCAAGCAGTGGCAGAGTGTGTTGAACGGAAAGCTCAGCAAATTAGGTGCCCGAGAAAAGCAATGAATGCGAGCTCCTGCAGGTGCCAAGCCCCATGAACCTGAAAATGAAGGCCATCACTTACCATATTTACAAGAGGCTGGAAGGTCAGCGCCAGCTGCGGGTTGCCATTCGGATTGGACAGGTGCTGCGTGATTTGCATGATCAGCGTGGTGATGGCGGGCCTGCAGGGGCAGTGGGCACGCTCCGTGCCCATTGCTGCTACAGTGCAGGGAAAACACACACTCTGCAAGGCCCCAGACGGTGCACAGAGGCGTGCCGCCCGTCGGCAGCACCCACCGCCCGCCCGCCGCCATCACTGTTGGGTCATGGCGGCGGGTGCGGCGTGCTTCCGCACTGCATCGGCCCTCCCACTCCGGGGCCAGCGCGTGGCGCTCACATGAGGTTGGGCTGGCCCGCAGGCACGGCCGAGTAGTCCACAAGCTGCGGGATGTCCAGGGTTGCGAGCTGCCCCAGGTCCATGGCAGCCGCCTGGGCAGCAGCAGCCGCCGCAGCAGCCGCTGCAGCCTGCTCCTCCAGGGTGCCCGCCTCCAGCTGCTGCTGGGGCTCCTCTTCCACCTGAGGCTGCTCCTGAGGCTGATCCATGCCTGCGAATGAAGGCAAGGCTAACCGCGAAGGGCGAAAACTCTCCAGCTGTGCTGACCGGGCATGCAGGAAAGCCCCAAATGGGCCCCAAAATTGGAGCTGCCCGGTCTCCTACTGGACCCGACACCGCCTTCAGCAGCTTGTGGGCTGCCGGCAGTGCGTTGAGTTGGTCCACTCCAGTTGCCAGACATGGCGACGGGCGCCACCCTCAAGGACCTGGCACCCGAAGAGAAGCAAAAGGTGGCGCGGCTTATACTGCAGGTGGCGGAGAAGGAGCGGGCGCTGAAGGCGGCAGAGGCAGTGGCGGCAGAGGCGTCGGCGGCAGTCAAGTCGGCAACCCAACTGGGGCAGCAGAATCTGGAGCTGGCGCGCGAGAACACCAGGTGGGTGCAGGCATGGCTCTACCAATGCAACCTCTGCCCCAACCATCAAGCACGCCTGCCGCCCACTTGTGTGTCCGCAGCCTTCGCGCCAAGCTGTCGCATGCCTTCGATCTGCTGCGCACTTACCAGCACAAGTGCCGGGTGCTGGATGCCACCGTGCAAGTCACCAGCTCGCGCCCCGCCTCACCCGGGTGCCAGACGCCGGCAGCAGCAGCGGCGGCGGGCGGCTGGGGCGGCATAGGCGTGGATGCGCAGCAGCTGGCTGGCTGCCTCAGCCTTCTCGAGAGCAGTCGAGATGGCAGCATGCCTGTCGCCCCAGTCTGTGCTGCTGGGCAGCGCAGCAGCGACACCGAGGCAGCAGCGGGCTACGCCAGCAGCAGGCAGCTGAGCCCAGTGGAGGAGGGGCCCTGGGAGGGCGCTTCTCCTGCAGGGCACTCCCAGGCCTTGCCCTCTTCAGCAGGCAGTGTGCAGCAGCCGCAGCTGCTCCCGGCAGCAACCCAGTCGGCAGCACAGCGACCAGCCCCTGCCAGCCCAGCGCCACCCAGCGCCGCCGGCGTGGCCACCAGGTGTGCGGCCGTGCCCCCAGACAGCGCCCAGGTGGCGCCGCACCCGCTGCCGCAGCTGGAGGCCCTGAAGATGCTGGCGCAGGCGCTGCTGGAGGCGCAGGCTGAGGTGGCAGCCAAGCAGCAGCAGCAGGCAGTAGAGGCCGCTGGGCTGCTGCCGGCCCTGCGGCTGCCCCGCGGTGCGCTTGTGTTTGATGCATGCCTGGGCCCGTATGGCGGCTACCTGATCGCGCCGCCGCCACCCGACAGCCAGTGTGCTGGCAGCGATGGCAGCGTTGATGGCGGCAGAACCATCAGCAGCGGCAGCACTCAGCCCAGTAAGTCTCAGGCACCTGAGCGCGTGCCTCTGGCGGCTGTGCCGCAACACGCAGCCGAGCGCAACGACAGCAGCCCCACCAGGTGCCAGAGCTTGGCATCCCCAGGACGCCCTGGCAGCAGCAGCGGGCGTGGCGGCCGTGAGCTGGTGATTGATGACTGCCTGATGGACCTGCTGAGAGATGTGGAGAGCATGGCCCCTCAGCAGCGCAGCGGCAGCGGCCGCGCGGTGCCTGGCCTGCAACCCGCCAGCTACGGCACACTGCTGCCTGCGGTGCAGGCTGAAGCATCCTCACTATATGAAGAGAATGACCTGTTATGTACGCTTGATCTGATCGCTCAGGTCTAATGTAACTCGCTGCTCAGCGGATGCTGGCAACAACGCCGGCAGGCGGGCGCCTAGTTGGCGCTGACGGATGCCTTGCCTATTCGTTGCGCCTGGCTGTTACCTGCTCTGCCCGCTTTCTTGGCATCCAGCGCCGTCTGGCGCCATCAAAGCCATGCTGCCGCACCAGCAATATGGCTCGCCTGGCTTTCCCGGTCAGCCGCCTCAATACCCGCCGCAGCAGCCTCACCAGTACTACCAACATCAGGGACACCCGCAGGCTTGGCCCCAGCAACACGGTTACCAGCCGCCGCCTGGGGCGTGGCAGCAGCCTAGCGGCTGGCAGCAACCAGGATATGCCAATCAGCAGCAACCGATGCAGCAGCACATGCAGCACCAGCCGCCGGCACTGGCGCACGCGCCGCACCCACCGCTGCCAGAGGTGCCGCCGCCTCTGCCCCCAGCGGACCAGCTGCCAGGGGCCGCAGGCTTCGAGGCTCTGCCGCCTTTGCCACCCGGGCTGCCGCCGCTCCCGGCCGGGCCCCCACCGCAGCAGCCCCAGCCGCAACTAATGCAAGTACAGCAGCCGCCGCTGCCACCGCAGCCTTTCCATCCCTATCAGCAGCAGGCAGCTGCGCAGCCTTACCCTCAGCAGCCGGCGCAGTACATGCAGCAGCAGCAGCAGCAGCAGCAGCAGCAGCAGCAGCTAGTGGCAACCCCATACCCACTGCAACAGCCCATTGGCGGGCTACCTGGGCAGCAGCAGCAGCACCAGCCGATGCCGCCGCAGCCGCAGGTGCAGCAGCCGCAGCACCTGCAGCAGCATGGCATGGCAGGGTGGCCTCAGCAGTATGCCGCCTCACATTACCCTGCTGGCCACCAGCCGCAGCCGCCATACGGTTACCAGCAGCAGCAACAGCAGCAGCAGCAGCAGCAGCCAGGCGTGGCGCCCGGCCAGGGCGGCGGCTGGGGCTTTGGGCAGCAGCAGCAGCAGCAGCCAGGCGTGGCGCCCGGCCAGGGCGGCGGCTGGGGCTTTGGGCAGCAGCAGCAACAGCCGCCGCCGCCGCAGCAGCACCCGCCTGTACCCGCGGCCCCGCAGCACCAGCCCGGCATGCAGCCATACGCTGCTGCCCCCGGGGCGCCCCCCGCCCCCGCGGCACCCAGCGCCGCCCCCCGCCCCGCCGCGGCGCAGCCGCTGCCGCAGCTGCGTGCCGACGCGCTGAGCCTGCTGCAGCCGGGGCCGGCGCGGGAGCGGCGGCCGCGGCGCCTGGCGGTGCTGCTTCGCGGGCTGCCGGGCAGCGGAAAGAGCCACGTGGCGCGGCTGATTCGGGAGCGGGAGGTGGCGGCTGGCGGGGAGGCGCCCCGCATCCTTTCCTTAGACGACTACTTTATGACGGTAGGTGGGCAGGCGGCTGGCTGGCCTGCTGGGCGGGGCTGGGCTGGGCGCCCGCCCAAGCAAGCAGCCTGGGGGTGGGTGGCTGGGCTGGGCTGCCGTGGTGGCGTCCCGCCGGCCCCTGGCTGAGCGCCGCTGCCTGGCACGGTGCAGGAGGTGGAGCGCGAGGTGGAGGAGGGGGAGGAGGGGGGGCGGCGGGGGCGCAAGCGCAGGGTGGAGGTGCTGGAGTATCGCTACGAGCCCGAGATGGAGGGTGGGTGGGGGCCCGCCTGGCTGCTTGCCCCGCCGCCGCCTGCCCGCCTGCCTGCTCCTGCCTGCTCCTCCCTGCCTGCCCGACGGGCGGGAGGGGCGCGGCAGTGGCCTGCCTGCCAGCGAGAAACCCCTGCTGCGGGATGCACGGCGGGATTGGCCCGCCGCCTGCGGGCCGCACCTCACCGCCGCGCGCTCGCGCCTGCCGCTCCTGACGCCGCTCCTCCCTCCGCCCTTCCCGCCGCAGCCGCCTACCAGCGCAGCCTGCTCAAGGCGTTCCAGCGGGCGTTGGAGGAGGCTCGCTTCCGCTTCATCGTGGTGGACGCGCCCGCCATCAAGGCACGCGCCGCCTGCCGCCCCCTTTGCCCTGTTCACCAACCATACCCTACCTGGCTGCTCCTGCCTTCGGGCGGGACGGTTGGATGTACTGCTGCCCTCGCATCGGCACGCGCGGCATCCTCTGGCCAAGCACGGGGGGCGCCCGTTTTTAGCTCCCCCATTGCGCTCCCCCGCCGCTCCCTGCTGCTGCTGCCCTGCTGCTGCTGCTGCTGCCCTGTCCTCAGCGCCGCCTCCACTCCTCCCCTCCCGTGCCCCTCCCTCAGGTGGCCGACTTCAAAGACTTCTGGTCGGCGGGGCAGGCGGCTGGGTACGAGGTGTATGTGGCGCAGCCGCCAGAGGCAGACCCCCAGGTGGGGCCCTGGGTTGGAGGGTGCAGGGCAGGCGGGGCAGGCGTGTGGGGCGGGCCGGGGCGGCAGTGTGCCCCGCAGGCGGGCAGGCTGGCGCCCCTGCTGGCACCCCTGCGCGGCGCCGGTGTGCCTCTGTGCGGGCCGCGCAGTGCCCCCTTCTCAGCCCTCCCTTGCCCTCCTTCCCCTCTGGCTGCCCCGCCTGCAGGTCTGCTATGCACGCTGTGGTCACGGGCGCAGCAAGGAGGATGTGTACCGCCTGTCTGCTGAGTGGGAGGCCACGCCTGCGGTCTACACGCTGCTGCTGCTGGATGGGCTGCTGGGGAGGGGCGGCGGCGTCGCCTCTGGCGCCATTGCCGAGGTGGAGATGGGGCAGGAGGATGAGGACGGCGCCGCGCCGAGCGGCGGCGGCAGCGATGGCGAGGAGGAGGAGGGGGAGGGGGCGGCGGCGGCGGCGGGAGATGGCCGGCCCGCGGCCGCCAGCCGCTGGGCTGCGCTGGAGGATGGGGGCGAGGGAGAGGTGCGGCAGCAGGCGGCGGCGCGCAGGAAGAAGCAGCGCAGCGGCCAGGGGGCGGGCGGGCTGGCGGTGGACGACTGGCGCGAGCTGCTGGGCGCCAACGGCGGCGCCGCCGCCGGCCCCCGCGGCATCCTGAGCAGGGGCGGGGGCAGCGCCCGCAAGAAGCGCGTGCGCTGGCCGGACGAGGTGGGCCCCCCCCACCCCACCCTGCCGCCTGCCGGCCCAGCTGTGTGTGAGGATCGCCCGTGGGCCTGGCGGCAACAACAACAGCAACCGGCAGGGCGCCCACGCGCCCCCCTGCTCCTGCGGCCCCTGCAGGAGTGGGCAGGCGGCGAGGCGGAGGCGGAGGAGGAGCAGGGGTTCCGCATCGGCGGCTCCACCGCCGGCACCCCTGCCAAGGCTGGGCTGGAGGTGGTGCACGTGCTGCACGGCCTGGGCCCTCCGTCGGAGCTGGAGGACGGCGGCGCGGGCGTGGCGCCGCACCCCGGCGGCGGCGGGCCGCGGGCGCAGGGCGGCTTTGCGGCGGCGGCGCGGGCGGAGCACCAGACAGAGGCCGGCCTCTTCCGCCGCCTGCTGCTCAGCCGGGGCGCGCCGGGCTGAGCGGCTCCCTGCAGGGCCGATCGACGGGGGTGGGGAGTGCCCGCGGTATGCCACGCGCACGGCGCCGTGCGCAGTGCAGGGCATTCACATCGCCAGCGTACCGCCCTCCTCTGCACGTGCTGTGTCGCACATTCGTGTCCCCTGGTGCCGGCCCTCTTGCCTGCGCGCCTGCTTGGGCTGCTGTGCTGCCAGCCTGCCGGTGGTTGCCTGGTGGCCAGGCGCGTAGGCAGCGGGGTGTTGGCTGCGGTCGGCCTGCTGCCGCCTCCGCGGTAACACTTGGGGGTGGCTGGCGCCCAACAGGTGAGCCGCCAGCCCTGCATGACGGCGGGGGGTGACGCCTCCGTGTGCTGCTCCTGCAAGCTGCCCGCTGTGCTGCTGGCTCTGGGGTTCGGTGGGTGGAGGGTGTCCCGTGATGCCTGCATCCCACCTGCACCTGCGCACCCCTGCAGGCACGCTTGACCAGCGGCTGCGCCATGCCCAGCCCCTGAGCGTTTGCTTGCAATTCATTTCATGTGCATTTCCTGACCTGTTTTCCATGCAGTTTTTCATTCGAATTGTTTGTTTTGCTGCTTGTTCTGTAAACCAGCTGGTACAACCCTCAGCACGCCGCAACAGTAGCACGGGCGCCGCCCCGCCCCGCGGGGGAGCAAGCAACGAGGCGCCGGCGCCCGTGGTGTGCGGCCCGTTCTGCTCTGCATGCAGCTCTGAGTGTTTCGCTTCCCATCAAGCACTCAGTGCTGCATCAAGCACACCAACCGAGGCGTATGGTGGGTCCTGCTCCTGGCGCCCTGAATGTGCTGACTGGGCATCGAGGGTTCCCCGGCCTCCCCAACAAGTTGTTTCATTGCTTTCAAATCTACTCTCCCCATCTCCAGGCCAGGAGGCGTGCCGGACCACTCCTGCACCCCACCCCAAACCAAACCACCTCCACTTCCACCTCCGACACGCCCTTGTGCCACAAAATGTTGTCTTCAGAGGCCAGGCTCATTGCCAGGGTGAGTTTCTGGTTGGGGCCGCCGTTCCGCTGGCGGTTCCGGTGCCGGCACACAGCAGTGTCGGCGCTCTCTGTTTCTGTCTCGCGAGGTCGCTTCCTAGCCAGCGAGCGCAACTCCCGACAGCCGCCGCCGCTTCCCGGCCACCTGGGTGCCACCGCACCACCCGGCCTGCCACCCTCCCCGCCTCCTGCCTCGCTCCTCCGCCCAGCCAACCTCCCAACCACTCTCGCCGCTTTCCGGCCCCACTTGTTGCAGTATTTCGGCGGCGCCGTCAAGCAGGCTTCGCAAGCTACGTCGAGGGGCAACGCCGCCGCCGCCGCTCCTGTAGTCGCCGGCGCCATGGCGGCCTCGCGCCAGCCCGCCAACACCAGCATGGAAGCAGGCGGCTCGGTTGCCTCCAGGTAAGGCGCTTGCGGACTGTTGGCAGCGCAGGGCCCTGCAGCTGAGCAGCGGCACCCTGCGGGATGGTCGTCCGCTGTCTTATGCTCGTCTGCTTGCACCCTGCGCTCCTCCCATCGCCCGCAGGCCTGGATCTACCGGCTTCCACATGACTGCCGCCACCCCAGCCGGCAACACCCCACGCCTGAGCTTTGCCGCCTCTGCCTACTAACGGCCCCGGTGTTGCCGATGTCAACCCCTTGACGTGCGGTGCAGCACACTGCAGCCCACCCACCTGCTGTGACCCCCTCAACCTACTGAGTGCCGCCAGCCCTTCTCAGCCAGACGTGTGTTACTGTCCTTGTCGAGCGCAGCCAGCCAAACCTTTCTTGTTTCTATGTGGATTGCCTGCTTGAGCGTGTGAGTGTGTGTGAGTGAGTGTTACGTTGGGCCTCCGCGGCACCCTTATGCCTGGTGCCTGAGCGCCCGCGTGCTTCTGTCCCTGCCCGCTTGAGTGGCGTTTTGACCCCTCTGCCAGCCACCAGCGGCTTATTTTCCAGCTTTTTGCCCAGTGATACCGCCTTCATCCCATCGTGAGCCACTGATCAACCCAATCCTGCGTTGAGCGCGCGAGCCAGCCTGCCCTGCTTGCATGATTTTTTTCCACGTGCCCCTCCTCATTTTATACACGCAACAAGCCGCATTTCTCCATTCCTTTCGACAGCCCTTCTAAACCCCTTCACCGCCCAGTGCGCCCCACTTCCTTCATTCTCCCGTTGTATAGCTCTCACAGACTGTCAAGCTCTCTTCATTGGAAACAGTATCAAACGCAGTCAGGGGGTCGACACAATCATCACACACTGTCATTTGCGGCGGCTGGCATGGTGCTTGCTGTGGCGGTTGTGGTGCTGCACCTGTTTGTGGTGCGCCTTCTGCTGCTGCTGCTGCTCTTGCTGGGTCCGCGGCGGGGTCCAGTGGAGCGCCGTGTCAAGGATGCTCTCTCCGTGGTGCAGCAGCACAGTGATGTGCCCCTCGTTGGGCAGCAACGTCAGCCGGCTGCCGGGCATCTCGTCGGCCCACCTGCGCAGGAGCAAGAGCGGCAGCAGTGGCGCCTGTAGCTGTGCCTCCTGGCCTCCCTCCTCCCCTTCTGTAATCCAGCCCGCTCACCACTGTGCATGCTTCACCGGCACCGACAGATCGTCCTCCCCTTGCCAGATCATCACCCTGCGAGCAAGGCGGGAGGTCGGCAGGCAGGGCTGCCAGCATTCGCATGTGTGTGTGCGCTCAACTGCCGTGCTGTGGCCGTCAGGCCCTGCCACAGCCACGGTAGCATGGCGTGCACCTATGCCCCTGCTCCGCTGTGGCTGGCAGGACGAGCTGGCACCTGCTGCCCTGCGCTGCCCTGTGCTGCCCACATGCGCTGTCCACCCCCCGCCACTCACTTGCACTTGATCCTGGAGAAGTCGATATTCCACTTGCCGCCCAGCACGCGCACATCCTGCGCCATCCCGCGAGCCCCGCGGCAATAGGCATGCTGCAGGCAGCGCCCAAACGCGTCGCGCACGCGCTCGTCGCTCCGCAGCACCTCGCCATCCACTGCCGCCATGCCCTCTGGCGCGTGGTCCAGCAGGGTTTGGGTGTGCTTCTGCGCCGATGCGGCGGGGAGGGCACGCGCGCAGGGCAGGAGCAGCTGGAGCGAGGGGCAAAGCCACAACCATCCCGTGATGAAGATGAAAAGACGCTCCAGGCAAGCCTACACCCCGACAGCCTCCTCCGGCAAGTCCTGCGATGCGCTGGGAAGGCCCTCGTCACCCGCCCACCTTTGCCATGTAGGCCATGACTGCGTGCAGCGTCCAGAGGCCGCCCATGGGCGGCAGCCGCACCAGGCTGAACTGCAGCAAGTCGGCGCCGCGCATGGCGCGCAGCAGCGGCAGGTTGGACCAGTCGGTGGGGCCCACGGCGCTGATGAGCACCAGCGACTCGACATGCTCTGGGAACAGGGAGGCGTAGGAAGCCGCGTACGGGCCGCCGCCTGCGGTGCGCCAGGCCAGCGGGCGGCGGCAGGGAGGAGCCAAGGTGTGGGTGGGAGTGCGGCGAGGGGTTGGAGCTCCGGCTGCCACAGCCGTGCATGCATGCCAGGCCCGCTGGCTGCCGCCGGCGGCACACTCCCCTCACCCCGCTGGCGCAGCCAGCCGACAGGCCGCACCTGACGTCCCAACCAGCACGATGTGCTTCATCTTGAGGTGGCCAGCAAGCTGGTGCGCATCCTCGGCCGCCGTCTGCAGCGCCCGGAACTTCTTGAAGTCGGACAGGCCAATGCCGGCCCTGTCCATGCTCACGACGGCCAGCCCCAGCTTCCTGCCCGCCCCGTCCAACGCCTCCGCCTCCATCTGCGTGCGGCGGCGTGCGGCGGGGCGGTGAGCAGGCAGACGCAAGGGGCACCTGTGCCGGCATGCGCTGCAGCCTGTGCGGCTGCAACGAATGCGAGACACATGACACAAACACAGACCAAGAGAAGCTTGCTGGCCACCCGCCACTCACACCCGCCCGCCACCCGCCGGTCAGGACAGGCTGGGGCACCCTGCCCCCCAGGTCCACTGCTGTACACGTGCGACCTGGCCTTGTTCACGGCCCTCCGAAACCACCCCGCCTCCTGCGCACACTGCAAGATGGAACGCCGTGGAAGTAGAGCACGGCACGATGGAAGGGCTGCAGCTGCGCTCCAAGCACTCTGAAGGCCAGCGCTCTGCCGTCCTGCAACTTGAAGGTCTGCAATGCCTCATCGGGCATAGGGCCGGAGGCCATAGCGGAGCACGGGTCTCCCCTGCTCGGAAACCAGCAGACGGTCGCAGGGATAAATGCTGATTTTGAAACGGCGATGCCTGGGCTGAGTGGTGGCCAAGTGGCAGGCGCTGGCGCCACGTCGACAATTGTCCCGCAGTATTACTCGTTGCAGGTCCATCTGAACGCGCCATTCCAATTAACATATTGCCCATTAGCCTCTTTCCTCCAAACACCCCCTGAGAGAGCCGTTTCCCGCTTGCAATAATTGCTGGGTAATTAGTGGAGCCGTCTGAGGCGGTCAGCGGGCCGCCTCGCTCACTCCGACACCATCGCATGGGCGGAGAGCCAGCCGACTCCCAGCCCCCGTTCCCGCTGCTTCAGAGCGACTCAGACGTCATAGAGGCTGGGCTCCGCCCGCTGATCGAGCCTCTCCTCGCCCCCAAGCCCAGCCCTGATCACCGACTCTGCCGGAACTGCTTCGCCTGGCTCGCCCCAAGGGGCATTGCACCACACGCCAACAGCCGGGCCTGCAGCACCAGCAGAGTCACCTTCTTGGAGCGGTGCAGGTGACGGCTTGCCGCCGCCGCCGCCGCCACCCCTGCTGCCGCCTGTCCATGCTTTCGCCTTCTCTTGGCTGGCATGCCCTGCCGTCTCATCGTGCCAAGCGTGTTGCGTGCCGCAGGCTGGCGCAACAGCAGGCGCTACAAGTCGTGTCTGCGGCAATGACTCAGCCAGCAGGCAGCGTTGGTGGGCCGGCAGGCGGCGGCGGCGGGCGCCCCGCGCGCCAAAACGCGGGAAACCGACTGCCAGACATGCTGCGTCGCAGGGACGATCAGCAGCAGCAGGATCAGCAGCTTCACGAGGCGCCGCTGCTGCTGCTGCAGCAGCAATGCGTGCACGCGTGGGAGGTATCCCAACTTCAGGGTGCTGCCTCCTCGCCAACGGATGAGATTGACTCAGCCGCCGGCCTGAGCGACTCTGGGCCAGAGGTGGAGCTTCTGTCAGAGGAGGAGCGTGACATGCAGCAGTGGGCCGCCACCCTCGCCGTATGCACCCACCGTCTTGCGCGACATGCCCAGCTGCTTCAGGCCCCTGCAGATGGAGGACCTGTCCACAGCAACGCCAGTCTGGGCGTACAGTTGGTCAGCAAACTCGTCTAGAGTTGCACGTCAGCACCAGGTTTGCCAACGCTGACAGCTCCGTGGTGCCCAGCGCCCTGCTGCTGTACACCATATTCTTGCGCGCTTTCCGGCGGATCTCATCTACTGTCAGGCCGGCCTCCCAGGCCTTGATGATGGTGTTGATCCAGCCCGCCGACACCCGCAGGCGGCGGGCCAGCGCCAGCTGGGTGTGCCGCTCCTCCAGGCCGACCTTGGAGTCGCAGTGGATGAGCACCACTTTGGCCACCAGATCTCGGGAGTATGGGGCAGGCATGGCGGGCGCAGGGAGCGAGGATGGCTGAGCGGCAGCAAGGGCGACGGCAGTGCCCCACCCTGCCGCCAGCACCAGACAATACAGCAACCTCCCCGACATGAAATACGACGGAGAAATGGGCCAAGGAGGCCGGAATTCAGCGAGAGGGGAGCGTGCTGGGCTGTGCTGGGCCCCTGCATGGGCTCCCCCCAGCGATGAGCCATTTCGCCCTGGGAGTGGCTCAAAATGCTCGGCTAATTGTGCCTGAGAGTCAGGAGCAGCACCAGGCCCGCGCACTGATCCTGTGGAAACTGCCGCCCAATTGGTGATAGGTTAATTGGAATGGCCTACCTGCGTTCAGATGGACCTGCAACGAGTAATAAATGGTCCCCTCCATCCACCCTTTTCAATCTTTGCACCACTGCCGCTCAGCTTTACAACGTTGATCACCAGCCAGCAACGGCTGGGCCAGGGCGGGTGGCAGCGGAAGTGCTATGGGGAGAGCAGGGAGTGGGGTAGTTTGGAGCGGAAGAGGAGCGTTCTGAGGCGGTGGTGCTGTACAACAGGGTGGAGCAGCGAGGGAGCAGCGAGGAGCAGCGAGGGAGGCGCTGCGTTCTAGACGCTGCCAGCCCTCAACAAACTATACAGCGTGTGAAAATCTAGCGGGCCGTACTGGCAAGTATCCACAGAGTATCTGCCGGCGCCGGAAAAAGAGCAGGGGAGCAGGGCACAGGTGCTGGGGGGCCGCGCCGTGTAGCTGGCGCTATGCAAGTGGGCTGGCTGGCACCCTGCAGCTGGCGATGACCGCCTGCTGGGGGCGTGGCCGGGCCTGCCGCGGCTGCCGGGCGGTGTAGTGGGGCGCGGGTCGCATCGGTCGGGTGCGGTGCCCAGCGGGGCGCCCCCCTCACGGCTTCTCCACATCGTCGTGCTTCTCGTGCTCGTCCTTCTCCACCCCCAGCAGCTGCGCCACGAGGCAGGAGACCACGATGAGGCCGGCGCCCACCCAGCCGCTGGTGCCCCACCGCTCCCCCAGCATGATGTACGCCAGCGAGGCGCCAAACACCGGCTCCAGCGTGTAAATGATGGCGGCCTCGGTGGAGCTCACATCCTGCGGGGTGGGGTGGCGGCGGGGGCGGCGGCGGCGGCAGGGCAGCAGGGTGAGCACGGGCCTGCCAGGCGCCGGGCGCGCGCCCACGAGAGCCTGTGCCACAAGGTGGGCACACTGTCGGGCACGGCACTCGTGCACCGGGGGGCAAGTGGCGCGAGGGCGGGCGCCTGCCGGCCCCTGGCGCCGCACCTGCAGCGCCACAATCTCTGCTATGAGGCCGCCGTTTGTGACGCCCACCCCCATGTAAATGATGCCCGCCCACGGCAGCCTGCACCAGCAGCGCAGGCGCAGGTAAGCAGGCAGGCATGGCCAGGCTGGGTATACCGTGGGGCCTCCCGCTCGTCCCCACCAGCAGACAAGAATGCAAGCCCCTGGCAGGCGAGCTGCGCTGCCTGCCGGCCGCCGCCCCTGCCGGTCGGCTGCCCACTCACGTCGTCTGCCCCAGCAGCCTCGTCGCCTCCCCAGGGTTGGCTAGGAAGTGCAGGGTGGCCTGCGGGTGTGCGGCTGCGGTAGAGGCCAGACTGATGGCTGCAATCATCATCACAGACACAGACAGCATGGGGATGGCCTGCTTGGCGCCCAGCTGCTTGCTCCAGTACTCAGCACGGTATATCTGAGGGCAGGTGGGTGGGACGGGCGGGCCAGTTTGAGGGGCGCGAGGGCGGTGCCCCGGAAGAGCACAGCCGGAAGAGCAGCAGGTGGCACTGCAGGTGCTGGCAAGGCTGTGGCAGCACGACGGCAGGAGGGCGCGCCAAGCAGTTCAGGGAGCCACAGGCAGCGCTGGCGCGGCATGTGTGGACGTGGTGGGCTCGGGCGCAACCAGGGATGCCAGGCATCTGGCCACCCCGTGCAGCCGGCATGCACACCAAGGCAGCAGCACTTCCAAACAGCGGGCGGCGTCACCTGCGCGCCAAACAGCACCGCCGACATGAAGCTCCAGAAGTCGCCCCAGCTGGCGGGCGCGCCGCTGTCCTCCAGCAGGCTGATGCCCACCAGCGCCGCCAGCACCGCGCCCCAGGTGCTGCGCTTGAGCTTGGCGGTGCCAAACATGCCCGCCATCAGCGGCACCACCACCACGGTGAAGCCCGACAGGAAGGCGCCGCGCGAGGCGTCCGCCGTCAGCATGCCGATGCTCTGGGTGAGGTAGCCGCCCGCGGCCCACGCCCCAATCTCCACCCCCGCCTTGACCACGCGCTCCTCGCGCAGCGCGTTGCGCACAAAGGGGCTGAACACGGCGGCGGCGATGATGAAGCGGATGGAGGAGAAGACAAAGGGGTCCACGTTCTCCTGGGACTCCTTGAGCACCACAAAGGCCGAGGCGCAGGCCAGGCAGACCTGCGGGAGGCATGGCAGGTGCAGCGTGTGTGCTGAGACCGCGGCGGCGACTTGGGCGAGGGCTGGTGGCGCGGGGCCCGAGGGGTGGCAGGCAGCGCCACGACCCCTGCCGGGCAACTCCATGCCCCCCTCTGCCCCCACGGCTACCCTTCCTGCCTGCCACTCCCCCGCAAGGCCCCAGCCACATACCCTGGGCAGGGCGGTGTGCGTGGGCAGCAGGGGCGGCACCGCGCCGGCACCCGCGGCCCGCCTGCCCCGATGACCGCTGCTGGCTCACCAGATTTAGCAGTATGAGGCCCCTGAGCCGCGGTGTGACGTTGAGGGGCACCAGTACGCGCCAAGGGAAGAAGCTGTGTTGCTTCAAGCGATGCCCCACCGTGCGCTCTACCTTCTCCAGCCCATTCTCCCCGCCTTTCTTCAGGCCGTTCATCTCAATGATGCGCACAAAGGCGCCCGCCTCGGCGTCCCCCAGTTTTGGGCTGGTGGACAGCTCCAAATGCCGCTGTTTTGCGGCCACCATGGCGCCCAGACTCTTCAGCAGGGCCCAAGGGGCATGCTAGGGCACCCGCCCGGCCGATGACGGCCGCAGCCAAGGCCGGAAGGGCTAAACAGCCGCTGCCCCCAACAAACGGCTGCAACGCGGCGAGAGCGGCTGATCTGCAGACACAGTAAAGTATGCTGGACAGGGAGGCGAAAAGGACGGGAATCTCAATCATTCGGGCCTCCTGTGGGCCGCTGGAGCATTTGTACCGCCATTGTACGACTGAACGAAAAATTGACTTTGAAGGGCAGGGAGGCCACAGGATCGATTGCCATGGCCCTTGGAATCTATTTGAAGCGCAAGATCACAGCCAGAGGGGCCGAGGAATGCTGTCTGCCTGGTGCTTAATAGAGCTGTGGCGGCGCCCGGCGGTCTGCGCTCAAACGGGTATTGCTGGCACATGTGTGGACGCCTTCTCATTGCTCTTCGAGGCAGTGATCCACAGCAATACAACTAATGCGCAATTTGCGTCAAGAACAATAATACCAGAACAACACTTTTGCATCCGGCTCCCTGCCGCCCTCCGCTCCGACTCGGCAATCCAGCTAGGCCCCCAGTGCGCCTACCACCTCTGGGCTGTCCACAAAGTGATCAGTGATCATACGGCTGCTGAGGCGCATGCGCCGCACCGCGGGGTGCGTGCAGCTCACGAGCGCCAAGCCGTCGCACTGGCCCTCGGCGCAGCTGCTCGGCAAGCCCTCGCCGCCCTCGCCGCCCTCGCGGCCGTCCCCGCCAGACTTACGGAAGAGCAGGACCACCTGGCCGGGCACGTGGGCGTTGTAGGGGCGCTCGAATCCAGCGCTGCCCAAGCTCACCAGGGCGCCGTCGCCATCCCCAGCCTCCTCCACCTCCCCCGCCTCATCCTTTGCCTGCTGCAGGCCGCCGCCGGCCTCGCCGCCGCTGCCCAGGCCCAGCAACGGCACCAGATGCTGCGCCACCGAGAGCCCCAGCTTGGAGCTGCCCGCGTCGGCCGTGGTCTGCTCCGCCGCCGAGCGCCAGTCAAAGGCTGCCAGCTCCTCCAGCAGCCCCGCGAAGCTGCGGATGCACAGCCGCGGCACCAGGTCGTCGGCATGCACCAGGCTGGTCACCACATCTGGCAGAGGAGGGAGGGGCAGCGGGAATGGGGGAGGGCAGGGTGGGGCAGGGTGGGGAAGGGTGGGCTCGTGGTGTGGCATGGCGCAGGAGGCGAGCCATGCGCGCATGGCTAGGCGGGAGCCAGCGCACCCCCCCCCCCACACACACACACCCGAGCAGCCCTGCGCCAGCTCCAGGTCCATGCAGGCGGGCGTCTCGTACGCCCAGCACCGCAGCCGGTCAGCGCCCAGCCCTCGGTTGCGCAGGTACACAGCCAGCAGCGAGGCCACGCCTGCGGGCAGGCGAGCCGGAAGGTGGGGAGGCAGGCAGCGCGGGAGGCAGGCAGCCCCGGGGTTCGAGTGCTGGCCTGCTGCGTGGCCACCAGGCCCAGGCATGCACGGCGGCAGCAGCCCCCCACCCAGCCAGCCCGGCCGCCAGCCTGCCCAGCCCACCTGCGCCGAGACTGTGGCCGACCAGCGTGACCCGCAGGCCCTGGGCATACAGCGGGCGCAGCAGCGGCCCAAACTTGGCGCCCAGGAAGAGCGCGGCGCGGCCCATGCCGCTGTGGCAGTGGCCCGACAGGCGGCGGCGCTGCCGCGCCTGCGCCTGCTCCGCCTCGTCGCTGGCAATCAGCACCTGCTCGTGGCAGTCGCCCTCCAGCGCCTGGTCAAAAGCCTCCCCTGCAGCCACAGCCACAGCGCCGCGGCCGCTGAGGCGCCGCAGCTGCGGAATCTGCCCGCAGGCGGCAGCGGCAGCCCGCCGCCGCGCGCCTGTGGCAGCAGGCGATGCCGCCATCCACTCCTGCCCCCTCCTGCCCCTCACCCGTGGCCAGCAGGTCGAGGAAAGCATCCTCGGGGCTGAAGGTGCCCCGAATCACCAGCATCACCTCCTGCTCCCCCTCGCTGCACCGCAAGCGGCGGCGGCGGCAGGCAGGCGCGCATGTGTGTGCAGAGCTGCGCAACCATGCAGCAGTGCAGGTGCAAGGGCGGCCCCGGCTGCTGCTATGCTACGCCCGCTGCTCCCGCCCCCAGGCGTGCCTGATGCACAGGAAGAAGGCGGGGCAGCCGCTGGAGATGTCGGCGGTGTGGCTGGCGCACAGCAGGGTGAAGCCCTGGCTGGACAGCTGGTTGGCCAGGCCCTCATCTGGCGGCGGGAGGGCGGGAGGGTGGGAGGGCAGGGCAGGGCAGGGCAGGGCAGGGCAGATCAGGGGGAGCGGGGTGGGTGTGCTGCAGCAAGGCAGGCGCAGGGGGCATGCACGGTCCCTTGCAGGGCGGCACGGCAGGCGCAGGGGGCAGCCAGGCAGGCCGCGCACCGGTGTCGTAGTCGTACGGCAGGCAGGCCACGCCCCGGTACCGCGCCACCTGCTCCAGCAGGCCGCGCGGCACCGGCGCCACGCCCTCCGCCGCGGCGGCGGCCGCGTCGTCGGCGCCGTCGGCGGGCGTGCCGGCGGCGGCTGCTGCCTGGGCATCATCCAGCATGGGTCGGTCGTCAGAGGAGAGGTAGAAGTAGTAGAGGCGCATGGCCAGCTCGCTTGGGGCCAAGGCAGGCTGGCTGAGCAGCTGCTGGATGGCCGGGTTGTCCTGCTTCACCCTGCAGGCGGGTTGTGGGGCCAGGGGTGGGCGAGGGAACACGCAGGGAGGGCGAGGGAATGCAGAGGGCCGAGCGCGGCTGCCGCGGCGGCCAGGGAGGCAGGCGCGCGGCTGCCGTCGCCTGCGGCGGCCCCACGGAACTGCCCCCGCCCCCACACACACCTGTTGGCGGTGATGGCCAGCTGGCGCAGGATGTGCCAGGCGCCGGAAATTGGGAGCCGCCGTCTGCGGAGGCGGGCGGCTCCCAGTCCCAGATGCTGTCCAGCGCCTGGTCGTGCCCCGCTGGCACGCCCGCATGGCTCATCGACTGCGCCGCCGTGGTGCAGGGGGCGGGCGGGCGTGGGCAGGCATGGCGCCGAGTGCAATCATTGCAAGGGATTCAGTGAGCAGAGGTGGTGTGGAGGGGCGGGCATGGCGGCGTGAGGTGCTGGCATGCAGGGCGGGATTGGCGGCCTCCAGCTGCGGTCCGCAGGCTGGCTGCCCCGCTCACCAGCAGGAGGCGCTGGAACCCGCGCAGCGTGCCGGCGGCCACCAGAGTGCCCGTCGCCACCCGGAACGGCAGCCGGATGCCGGCCGTCCAGGCGAATGCCGTCAGCTCTGCTGCAGCCACCAGCGCTGCGGCGGGCTTGCTGAAGACAAAGGCGATGCCTTCGACTGGGGAGAGGAAGGAGGGGCAGAGGGTGGCAAGGGTTGGGGTGAAAGGGATGGGGAGAAACAAACGGTGGGGAGGGGAAGGGTGGGTGGCGTGTTGGCTGCGGAGTGGGCGGCGGCGGGATGCAGCGGCGGCAGGAAGGCAGCCAGCCGGATAGCGTGACACGTACCGTATGCATAGGTCAGTCGCGCGCTTACTGCAGCAACCCCTCCTGCGGTCCAGGCCGCCAGAGCCGCCATTCTGTCACTCTCCCCCGCTGGAGTTGGCTGCTCGGAGAGCTCAGCAATCCAGGAGCCGGCGGCACCTTGAGTTTGGTTGCATGCGATCTTGCAGCCATTTCATGATTTCAGGCACAGCACGTGAAGCGCCGGCGCCTGTGACAAAATGCCTGCCGAAGCTTCATTTTGCCCTGCATTCGTCTTGCAGAGTGCCTTACATCAGAGTGGCTTCCACTGAAGTCTAAAATAGTGCGGAGCGCCCAGAACTGAACTGATGCTATTGCATGTTTAATCGCTACACCGGCATGTTCCAGGTGGGGTGAAGTGCGCCCACAGGAGCCGACTCATTAATACTCGCTCAGGTGTTTGGTGTAGACATCCCGTAACTTAAAGGGTCGACCACTGCGCACTCCTGGAATGCTGCAGCATCTGGCGACGGAAGCAACCGGCGCCGGGGGTCCTTCACGCCGCGGGCTTGTCCTTGAACAGGACGACATTGCAGGGCGCATTCCTCAAGACATAGTCGGAGACTGCACCAGCACCGGCAGGCAAAGAGCAGTTTCTCTCAGGCTGGATGTGGGGATGCAGGCTGGCCACCCACACAAAGATGAGAGGATGCAGGCTGGCCCCCACCCCCCAACCCCCCTCACGCACCGGACCCCACGCCCAGCAGCCCCATGATGGCCTTCTTGCTCAGGCCCAGGCCACGGCTGCCCATGACCAGAGACTCGCAGCCGCAGGCCTCGGCGTGGCT